GCAGGAAGTTCAATTTATCAGTTGTATGTACAAAATTAAAATACTGTTTGAAGAAATATAGGAAAAACAAACACAAGTTACTTGAGGAAAAAAACCAAAACCCAACAACTGAAGAGGACTGGCTTAAGACCATTGAAATCTACCATGTTTTTCTTGTTCTCTATTCAAAATGGACATTCTAAAAAACAGTTTGTAGATACCCTACTGACCCACCAAATATTACTCACTAGTAGTGACAGTATTTCCACTCCAAGTCTCTACTACTACTGACTGTGAATTCATACTTGTAAAGTAAAGTGGGTTTTGTATTTTAAGACATACGGATTAGTCCTGAGGAATAACCATTACCACAGATACACAAGGAGAATTAGAGCATTCTCATGAGAGCCCTTTTATAAGAACACAACTAAAGCAAAAAGCTTTTTATATTTACATGTGATTAAAACCAGCCAATCAGGTTATTCATGATTTTTAATTAAGAACAATGAGTTCAAACTCCTAAGTACGTTTTGATACTTACCATGACGGCATAGCCATGTTCATGTTCAAAGAAACTGGCATAACTGGCCTAGAAATGAGAATGAACACCACTGACATAAGAAATATATTGAAATTTAATAATGCAGATGCAGTTATGTCACGAAATTACACATCCCCAATTCTGTGTTACTTTTAAACTGTAATTAACATTAGCTACTTTGTAGCGTCTCTTCAAGCAATCTCTCCAAACCTGCCAGCCCAAACACATTTAATATTCAGTGTTGAATTACGACTCTCTATGCACAGCAAGCAAAACATTAATGGGCCGCTTTTATATATATATATGCGTGTGTGTGCATGTGTGTGAGTGCATATATATCATATACATATTTTTTTAATATATATGTATATACCATTTAGTTATTTCTACGTAACAGTTATTTATCACAGTTCCATACACACACTCAGTGGATGAAGGCACGTTACACAGCAGCATCAGCGAACCTAAGGAAGCAGCCAAACGCAACCCAGTGGTGGATATGTGTGGCCACGCGTGCTTCTCTCTATGGTAGAATCTGCATAAGCAGTGCCTGCCTTCACTGCAGGACTCGTTCCCACCCTTGTGCTGCTGTACAGCACCTTTTCAGACATACCAAGACAACTTCAATGGACCAGGCTATGGATCAAATCTGGTTATAGTTTTAATCTACTGAAACTGAGGAACATAAGTTCTGCAGGGAAAGACTGAAAGAAGACAAAGGGCAAGCAAAGAGAACAGCAGATATCGCTAAGCTCTTTTTGAATGGCTCAGCAAAGCGCAGACACGTGGTAAAATAAATAAATATATCCCAGCCCAGTAATACACCAAAATATTGCTTATTTATCTCCCTGTCATCCATGCTCCACATCTCCCAAGACTGCTGCAGCAAAAGATAATCTGAATTTTTAAAGATTATACTTAATTAGTTTTTCTATCATTAAGTAAATATTAGATAGATTATAATGCTTTATTTACTGACTCCTGACCATGCTCAGAAGTGTTTCACTTCTCAAATCGCAGAAAGACAGCTCAAATTGCATTATTTGCTGAAAATATGAATATCCTATCAATCTTTGAAACTTGCTGTAAGTGACAGGGAAATTTCATCTATTATACATGTACGTGAGTTTAAGAAATACGTGTACCTCATACAAATTATATTTAAGGGTCAATAAAATACAAAAAAATACTTCTTGTTAAGACTGGCATTTAACAAATGACTGTTAAAAAAAAAAAAGCAACAACAACTCAATCCAGTGAAGACAAAGTCAAAACAATCTAACTTTGCACCTAAAACTTTCCAAATATGTTTTCAGTCTGAATTATTAACAAAAGCAAAATATGAATAAAAATGGAGTTTTGCCATAAAGTAAATTATTCAGCATTTCCTAAAAATAACAAAATATTTAATAGCATCAACATTATTTTAGTGATTTTTTTTAATATAGAAATGAAATGCACAGACATCCAAATCTCATTTGACTTCATCACCTGTGCAAGTGTCTTAATAAGTAACTCTACAGAAAAACATAAAACAAGAAAAGTTACAAACTTACGCATGTGGGCAAATGTATTTTACGTGGGGGCTTTTGATACCTGCAAGTGCTTCTGACCATCCATGCCTGTTAAGAAAAAACATATTAAATGGCATTTATGTTTTTGGCTTAGCTCTTATTTCTATGTTGGTGCCAACGGCATAGAGCAAGTATGAAATATGCTGAATTAGATTGATATAAACATATTTCTAGAAAAAATTTACATCAACTGCAGTATGCTATGAATATAGTAGTAAAAGGTTTGTTCTGCCTCTAAATATTTGTTGCATATATACAGCCAGGGACACTTCATCTAATTTCACTATCACAGTTGCGACACAGCTGCAGAAATGCCACTTTGGCTCTAGGCAAAGCCTGCTCTGTATCTGGCTGGGTTTATTAACTGGGGCACCACAGCACGTGAAAACAGGCACCCTGCTTCCAGGCAGCTCTAGCCCAGAGGCTGCTTTGATGCTCCTGAAGAAGGGCAGCTTCTTTCACAGCCAAGTTTGCTTTTTCTGAACCAAATTTCTTGATGCGGGAGGGCAGTGAACTGACATCCAAGCTAACTCCACATGGAGCCAATCTAATCAATCAGACCTATTAACTTTGGTTCAGCTTGAATGGTCTCAGATTTGGGCAGTCCTGAACAACATTCCAGATTGCAGGTAATTTTTTAACCTGAAGCATGTGCTGTATGAACGCACAGAACAATGCGAGATCTGCACAGCAGGTGAATTATCAAGCTTCCTACAAAACAAAAAACTGGAAAGCATTATTTAAATAAACAGCTCCCTCTGAAAGACTCGCTCCAGGGCTCATCTAGACCTGAACCAAGCTAGACCCAAATCTGAACCTGTGCAGAACCACTGCCTATGCCTGCACTTTGCTTTCCACAACACTCAATAGGACCTGTATTTTCTGATTTTTCTCACTATTCAGTATTCCTAACTCACCCACTAAACTAGATACTGAAAAGTTGATTCTAAGCAGAAAGCACCTGTAACAACTTCATCAGTAACACAGCTGAACTTATCAGACCAACAGCAGACAAGTCATAAAAGCATGTTTGGTTTAGTTTTAATTTTACAACCATCCTGAAAAGTTAATGTATGCTACCTAAAGATGTTTCAAACACACAGACAGCACAGGCATTTGAAACACTGGCTGGATATCTCAGCCTACTTCTTATCAATACTTATATATATATGTATCATTAACAAATTATGAGTGATACTACTTGGATAATATGCACAGTATCACAGAAGGCCAAGTAAGAATCTAAAGGAGAAATGCAACAGAGAAAAACTAGTTAGGTAAGAATTTGGGGAATTTTTTTTAGCCATCTGTAATTTCACAAACATGGAAAGCAACATTGTATACACATTTATGCAGACTCCTTAGAACAATCCTCTATGTTGTACCTTTTGTTCAGATTTTGACAAGTATGTACCAATCTTTAAGTGCCATTTATATAGGAGCTAAGAGACAAAAAGAACATAACCTCTGTTAGGTACTTCTCAGAGTAAGAAAAATACAGCTGGTCCTCTTCGGACAATTCTTTTTTGGGTCACTACTATAGCTTTTTTGGGGAAAAAAATGGCAGTATGTCAAAGGCAGTTTTAGCTAACCTGACCTGCAGTGGTCTAGAGAAACAAATAGAACTAAATCACCATCACATCACAGAGGTGTTAGAACTTGTTAATGGATACATTCCAGTACGCTCAGTGCATTTGCAAGCTTGAGACTGCACATTAGCTTTGTCACCAAAATGGAAATACCACATTTGTATAAGGAATACAATTTATGTTAAAGAGCAAATCTCTATGGTTTTTTTCCCTTGCCAAACCCAACATCAACCTGATTTGCAAGGATTCAAATTCCAAAGACTCAAAAGATTCTGCAATCACTTGCTGAACATTTGGTGCCAATATGCAGGAAGCACTGCTGCCTCAGCTGCATATTCTACCAGCAGAGAGGAAGAGGGATAATGCAAACAAGGTGGTGTGTCAGCACAAATGAGAGCAAACATCTCTACTTGTAGAATACTGCCAAGTGCACGGACTTGACTCTTTTTAACTTAATAAGTGTCCAGGTTACACAGGTTTCAATTTTGACAGCTTTTTTTTTTTTTTTCAGTTCTTCAGAAAAAAAGTTTAAGACATAAACATTGCAAGCTTCAACCTCGAGGCAACACTGAAGTTCCCGGTAACAAAAACAGAGTTCTTAAAAAAAAAAAAAAAACCCAAACCACAAAAACCCACAAACTATCTAATTTTGCCCGTAAGGGAGCACAATAGACAAAGCATTCATGCTACTTATTTGCAGCATCTAAGTGCCAATTCCTTTAAAATCTTCTACCAAAAAAAAAGGTTTCAACACACTCCTAACTTGTTAATTCAATAGCTTTAATGAATGTACGCTTACACCTCGGCACACACAAGCTTCAAATGGAAACATTATACCACACCTAGAATCTCCCAGAAATTCCCTACATCTACACTTTCCATTTCTACTCAAACATGAAAATAACAGGAACAAGGCAAACAGGGTATTTCACAGCTTGTTTGGGGGTTTTTTGGAGTCTGAGAACCATATTTCAGATAGAGAAATCTGTAGACATTAGGTGACTACCTAGGAGTTTGCTTAGATAAATCAAGTAAGCTTGGATTTTAATGTGTGACACACTGAAGAAGAAACCATGACCTAACTGCACCCACTAGCAAACCAGCAATCCACAAGTCCGGAAAAAAAGAGAATTCTAAATTTAGACAAGCACAGGAATGACCAGGAACCCACTCTCAGGAAAACAAAAGATCAGAAACCCACAGACTTCTTTTTTCATCAAGTTTGACTCAAGAACAAAACAGATATTACATTCAGACCAAGTTAGGTAAGTGATTGAAAAGACAGAAGAAAAAGCTTTTGAGAACTTATGCTGGGAAATAAATAGCTGTCACCCATTTCATCTGTTGTCAGCCACTGCATTCAATTAAGGGCAAAATAAGAAGCTTGAGTAACTTTTAACTGCTCACGTCTTTAAAACATGCAGTCTTAGATCTGAAACTATAGTAACTATAAAGTATATAGTAGATCAGAATACACACCCGGTATCTCCCAATCCATGAAGAAAAATGACCTAAAGGAGGAAAAAAAAAACACACAGCGGTGTTCATTAAACAATAAACGCACCTAACTCACGCACTGCTGACGCCCACGCGAGATCACACACAGTTCAGGGCACAGTACGACTTTCTCAGAAGAAAACTCTGCTCCACTCACTTCCCAC